TAAACACTATTAATCCTACATCACTTCGTGTTGAAGGACTCTAGCCTTAACAACAAAATTTGAGATTGTTTTCGAGCGAGCGCTAAAACCAACCACAGGTGTTTCTTTTAATATACGGTTTAATGTAGGCCAGAAATACAAATGACTTAATTTTGTATTTTACTACGATTTAGACTTCATAACATTGCAATAACCGCTGATATATTAAAATGATGACAGCAGATAAAGGTTCACATGAAAAAGATAGAGATTTTCAGAGAATATCATGGATAATAGCCCGTATGAAACAATTACAAGTTTTTCGTTTGAAAAAAGTTACATATGGACTGCAGCTTGCCTCCATATCTTGCAACAAAAGTTTTTGAGTCGGTTAGCGATTGATGACGGATTGAACTTTCCAAAGCAATTAAGAGGATTTTTATGTTGACGATATTTACCTGGTGTAAAAAGATGTCGGAGGTATTGCTTGATCGACAATTTGGCAACAACTGCTAACAAGTGGTGGCTTTTGAGCTTCCCCACTGGTAACAATGAACCGTCATTGTTAAAAACCTCTGGCTTACAAACACATAGAGTGACAATATTCATTGTGTAAGAATACAAAATCATTTAAATATACTTATGCTTATTTGTGTTGTGTTTTGTAATCAAGGCAGTAACATCTTGAAGTGGTAGAAGATTGTCATCTCCCCATTTTGGTGGACTATGGGAATCGGCGTAAAGTCAATGTAATTACATCTAAAAAGGACTGTTGGTGATACTGCGCTGACCTATCCTGAATTTCAGACTGATAGCGCAGGTTTTATGCTTTGTCTCAACTCTGCCCATTGTTTCCATATCGGCTGATCCAATGATTTAACTGCATTAACACCTTGTCATTTCCTAATGGAACGCTTTTAATTTTGGGGCCCATCAAATGATTAACGGCATTAACACCTGGTCATTCCTAAGAGAACGCGTCTTTTAATTGCCATACCTGAACCAGACCTAATTATAGTTCCTCATCACATTGACAGAGGCATGGTGAGACATTTTTATTTTTCAGCACTTCTGGAAAAGATGGAGTCAAGAAGACCGGTCTCAGCTTCAACAAAGACCTAAAATGGCCAAAAGTCAAAACAATTTAAAGTCAATGACTTAGTCCCTAATCCAAGAAGACAAACCTTTCGTCCGCCTCTTAATGAGGTTTAGGGCGAATAATTGCTGTTCATCCGGGCTCGTCAAAGGTCAAGTTGTTAGTATAAAAACTGGTCATGGTTCATAAACGACCATCTGAAATTGTGTCCTCTCCTATTCAACTAAAAACTATGAACTGCTTCGCATGTAATTTTGTATTATTTTTCTTATGTTTATCTTTTTATTACAGACTAAGAAGTTCAAATCTCCCCTGTTGAATCCCATGGGATTTCAACGAGGCCAGGATGTTTATGTATATCGTTTGCTTCATTTATTGTTGCAAACAGCGTAAATTCCTTTTGTTTTCTTCCTTTAGTTTTGAACTTTATGTGTGGCAACAAGATAATTGATTGATAGAATTGCGTTTGTGACACCTGTAGAATGGTTCGCTTTTTGTATATTATTTTGCATCGCTGACAATTATTATAAAGTGTAATGAAATAAAAGTGTAGGAATACAGTCATTTGTTGATTGATTATAGTTCGTGAACATATTAAGTATAACAAGGTTTTTTCTGTTATTACTATTCATCATTATTTGGACTCTACCAATATTTCGTGTATGTATCATACTATGTAGGGTCATTTGTCAGGTATAAATTAATTTCGTTCTCAAAGACTGTAAGAGTCGTGCTAAATAAATTATTGAAATGTGAAATATGGGTATTTTCATTAAGTTACATGATACGTTAAAATATTCCAATTAACAAATTTTTATATTCCAAATTGGAAAAAGGCGATAAAGTTTCATTTCCATGGCTGAATATTAATTCCATGTGTATTAAGACTTTAAGTTCTCCTTCGCAAATGGACTCTAATTAAAATTTAAAATAATACGTATAATGTGGAAATTCTTCTCTGTAGTTAAAATAAATTCAATCTTCGTACCTTGTTAAGAGAGTAGGCTGTGATAAGTTCAAATGAGTAGTGTTTATAAGTTCTGCGGTAAATGTGGAATCATATTAAGAATCCGAGTGACGTTTTCACATGAAAGAAAAATCAAGGTTCGGTGTATGTTTGGTGATTTAAGTAGGATGTGTGCAAGAAAATAAAGATATTTAGCAAAATTTGTGTTAGTAGTATAAATGAATCTTACTGAATAAAAGAGTGTTCTGAATATATATGTATAAATGTCTGTAGAGTAAAATAAGACGAAATGAAGTACTATTGGTACGTATCTAAACTTAACTGGGCAGAAATGCTCCATGCATTGGTTTGAGTGGGCTTCATACCATGAAAATTTATTGCTCCTTATAAGATTTGTTTAAAGTTAGTAAGTCTTATAATAAAGAAACACGTGTAAGTCTGTATTTATTATGGGAAAAAGGAATCAGAAATACAGCATGAATATGTTTTATATAAGTTAATATAAGGGTAAATGTGTAAATGGAAAGTGTAAAAATTACTTTGTCAGACATAGTTGGTGAATCTTTTGAATAAAAGTAAACGTGTAAAAGGGATCAACAAAGTTTTGTATAGTTGGCCAAAAAGTGAAAACAGTCATAATAGTTAGTACAATGCATTAAGGACATATCTGAGTATCTCCAACTTAGTAGTAAAATAGTAAGAATGTAGTATTCCAGTTAAACTATATAGAATGAGCATTGTGTATATTGGCTTAAATTTACAGAAAATATTATCTAGTGAAGTTATATGCAGTAAATCCAGCTAAAATTTCAAAGACAGAGAAATGTAGGTAAGTTTATTTTGGAGAAATGGAAGTGTAACAGATGTTGATTTAAAACAGGAAAAAGTTAAGGGTAATAAAAAAACAAAAAAATTAAAGGAAAGGGGAAAAAATTACTTTTGGAATTAAAATGCATAAGGGTAAAAAACAAAAACTGCTTTTGTGTAAAAAAACAAAAAAAAAAAAAATTAAACTTATGAACTAATATTACTTTTGTAAAAATTCAAGTTAAAATGTAGTAACAACATTTTTAAAATAAAAAGCGGAAAGGAAATTAAATTTGTAAAAATAGATATTACTTTTGTAAAAAAAAGTTTCAACCCCCCCCAAAAAACTTTAGGATAAATGAAAAAACAAAAACTTGCAAGAAAAAGTAAAAGAAAATGAAATTCACTTTGTGAAGTAAACGTCAATTTGCGAAAGTTAAAATAAAATTTATGTTGTAAAAGGAAAACATATTAAATCAAAATTAATAAATTAACTAATAACTTTAAAATGTAAATAAGATGAAAAATGAAAACATTGGCTAAATAAGATTAATATTGTTAGCGAATGCTGATTGGGTGAAGTTGTATACGTTCGCCAGGGCAGATGTAGAAAGCGTGAAGCGGTTTCGGCATGCTGCAACGTGAAAGAGATGACGTTTGCCAGTTTCCCCTCAGCCTATTGACGTCATTGTGATTTTCGCTGCCAACGGAAAAATAACAGATTTCATAACATGAAGGTCTTAGCCGAGCGGTAAATCCCTAGACTCCCATCCCCGAGGTAGCGCGTTCGAATCTTGGCTGTGGAATTATTTTTAAAATTCATGGAAAAGGATACTAAATTCAATAAAAATTAATTAAAGGTAATAATTAAAATAATGTCGCACTAAATAATTAAAATACTTATTAAAATGAGTAAATAACTAAAATAATAAAGGAAAATAATTGGTAAATAAGGAAAATAATAAAGTTGATGTCACGTGGTTCAAGCGATTGTTGCCACAAACATAAAAAATAGTGTCGTTGCCACAAAAAATAAAAACTTTGAAAAGATCTTTGCCACACCACAAAAACGAAACTCAACACGATTACGTCGTCCCATCCATATACGTCACTTCCGGTTATCACGTGATCCAAGATGGCGCTTTTGTCGCCACTTCCGGTGAAATCCAAGATGGCGGAGGCCACGCCCCCCTTGCGTCATCCATTGTTCTCTTACGTCATGGCGGCATCCTTTGAGCTCCTGGGTGCCCGGGGTTACTACTCATCATGTTGGCATGCTGTTGTTACCAATCTATCATACCTGACTATAGTCAGCACAAGCCCATGGCATGCGTAGTAGCAAGGAGTCAAATGCGTGTCTGTCGTTGCCATGAGCCTTGAGCACCACCGGCCCGACTTTAGCTCAGTTCCTCTCTCAATTTGAGCACCCCGGAGAGACAGATCCGAGGGTCCCCCACTCCTCTTCTACTAACCTCTCGATAGGATTTCCGGCTTGGCGTATATTAGGCGTGCTGTCATGCCGCGCAGACACTATACATTTACAAACATACTTTCTTCAGGATTCGAACTCAGGACCTTCGTTACGGCAGTTAGAATCATTAACCACTATCAAGGCCTCAAGTTCGCATTGAGGTCAAATTCGTTCGCAGATGGTCGAGAGGGAAAAGCCTCTGAAAATTGGCAATTTCCTGTATGCAAGGTGCCATGATTTTTGTCACGTGTAACATAAATACGATTCAATTTCACTTAATAGGTCCTTTACAAAAACATTATTCCTCTTAGAACGTTAGTCATTTCCATAATTGAATAAATAAAAAAATCGGAAATTTTAGAAATATAGCCTCGACCACGCCAATTTGTTTGGCATGATAGAAGTAACTTAAATTTTTAACTTGTTCTTGAAATTTTGCTGACAAATATAATTTACATGAAAACTGCACATGCAACTTCCTTACTTCCATGAATTGAAACTTCCATGAATTAAAAATATGTTTGTCTTCTACATATGAAAGCATTTTTATCTCATAAATGGTGCTTTCGACACGTCGTAATTCGTAAGCTACAAGCGTTGGCTTCTGCCACATTTTAACTACTACGGCTGCCTTTCCGTATGTTACCAAAAAAAAAAAACTATGGAACAACGTTTGAGTTTTGAAAAAAAGTAATTACTTAAAATTTATTCATGCATTAACAGATTGTACAAATTTGGTTAAAAAATATCAAACATTTTGTTATCTGCAAACTGGTGACCAAACCTAAAAATAAACCTGCTAACAGAAGCTTTCAGCTAGCTGTTGTTTTTATTCGACTCTTACTGGTGAGGCGGGCAATACGTTTCAGTATACATTTGCTTGGTTTCCACCACTTGCCTCTGTGGTAATCTTGTCTGCCCCACCAGTGGCAGAGTGGTAAGACCTCTGAATACTGGGAGTTTAACTTGGATTCGATTCCAGGAGAACGGAGTGGCTGTATGGCTTGGGGTTCTCCATCTGTAACGTGAATACGTGCGAGCCAGTTCTGCTTCTAAAGCTTTCCTCGAAGGCATCCCTCTTTTTAGGCAGAAAGCCCTTGCCTGTTCCGCCATATTCCCATAACCTAAATTCTTGAACTTAACAAATCCTTCGTAAGGCATTTTTAAGCACACCTGAAAATTGTTGTTGTTGTGACTCACCTCACTCGTCTGATATCAGAGCAAGAATAGAAATTCATCGCAGCAAGGAGGTAAGTTTGCGTCTATCGTTGGCAAGAACCTTGGGCACTATACAAGTGACAGTACGACTTTGCTCATTTCTGTCAGTAATTTTGAAGGACAGCGCTCCAGGGGACGGATATGAAGGTAACCCATCACTCTTCCATTACCACCAACCTCTTGAAAGGACTTTCGGCTCGCAGCATATTTAGAGTGCCCCCCATGTCACACAGACACTGTACATTTACAAAGATCCATGCCTTCTCCTTTACTCGAACTCAGGCGCTTCGGTACGGAAGTCAGCGTCATTAACCACTACCCCGATTGGGCGGTAAAACCTGAAACGAGTGAATGTAATTTATTATTTACTTTGTAAAGAAAATAAAAAAAAAAAAATATTATGTTGTTTAAAACAACTTAAAACGCTCACGAAAGTATTTTCTGAAGCGGAAGAAAGAAAGAAAATGCACGGTGCCCCCAGAAACTGATAAATTATTGATAATCAAATGGTATTTTTAATTTATCTTCTCAAATTGTAATAATATATATTATTTACCTGGACATCAAATTATTATAAATAATTTGATATGATTGTTAATAAAATGTCTGCAATCTGAATGGCAGTTTCACTGTTATATATCAATATCAGTATATTATTCTTTATATTCCATAATGATTTTCAAAAAAACAAAGAAAAAAAAAAAAAAAGAAACGAATTCATAGTTATTATAATAAGAAAACTGCTGTAGGCGATTCGAGAATAAGAAACTTCTTTGGTGCAACATAATATTGCACAGATAAGCTGCAATACGATTTATCAGCACTATCTTTATTCAATGTTATTAGCAGCGATCGATTTTTTACCCTATTTCTGCAAACCTTTGCCAGTTGTTGATTAATAGAAGTGATAAGAAAAGAATTTTAGCTCAAGCACAGTAAAATAATAAAATGGACGGGAGGAATGTTTCCCGCGGTCTAGAAGGAGTTAAGCAACCTTAAAAAAATGATAGCATGTGAAGAAGCTGCTTATTTTTTATTTCATATTTAAAATCTACATACCATTTCGCCAACCTTTCGCAAATATATTAAATTTTGAGAACAATCAATCCCATTGGAAAGAAAAAGGTAATTGAAAATCTAAACACTGCACAAAATGTATTACTGACGGTTAAATACTTAAACAGCGAGCGTCATTAGGTTATTTCGAGGCAGGAGAGATGAAAAATGAGCAATGCCCTCGCCGGGACTCGAACCACGGACCTCTCGAATACGCGTCGAGCGTGCTGACCGCTACACCACGAAGGTATGCTAAGAAGGCGGGAGACATACCTTATACTCTTTTAATAGAGGAAAATACGCAAGCCCACGTATATCGCGGGATGGGCAAATTTTGCTACATTTACGTTGTCCGTAGAAATCGCTTGGATCTGGCTTGGTCCGTAGAAATCGGGCACCCGCGAGTCAGCGCAATCCCAGGATAACATCATTGACGATTTTCGATTACGCTATTGTTGCGAAAGTACGAAATGACATATCACAGCGTAAAGTCAAATAGGATAAAACAATTATTGACATAATATGTAAGTCTCGAATACGACACAATACCGCTACTTGTGATGCTAGCCAATCAGATTAGTACTAAGTACGAGCAAAAGTTCGTGGATAAGCAAAGTGCATACGAAGTAGGTAGGAAGAAATGTCAATATGCTCCGAAAGAGCGGATGTTTGTAATAACTGCAGTCAGTAAGTGCGGAGTACACAGTAAGAAAAAGTAAGCCAGCGATATTACTAGGTAAAGCAAGCAATGATTTTAAATACAAACATTAATTACCGAAAACCAGTTAGTGTAACTAATAAACTAGTAAATTAGTGACCAAAATAATTATTAGTAAGATGTAAATCAGTAGTAAGTAAAAACAAAAATTGAAAGAGAGGATGCACGGTAGGTGGAATGCAGGTGTTTTGTATAACGAATCAAAGAAGAGAGTAGCAGTTGGGAGTTACATATTAATTTGTGGTGTTGTGAGTAATGTGCGATTAATTTGAATTTGAAAGCTGGGATATCTCAAGAATGAGGTGTAAGATTTGTATCTTATCTAATAAGTTGTTACATATTTTAAGCTCCGGAATCTTGCTCTTGTATATTTGAATAACTTTGCCAGTTTGAAAACCAAATGTCTTGCACTTCTTTAATTACACTGAGTAGTTCTGAAATATCTGAACGATTAGCAGGATTATCTGTATTGTTACCTGAGCATGATTTATCAGATTGAGAATTGTTATTTTTTGACACATTTTCTGGAGCATTCTGGAGTGTGCGATCACTGCGATTGAGTTCAACAGCCTGTGCATAGCTTACTCATGGTTTTACGGAGGACTTTTGAAAACGGTTTTTTTTTTTTTTTTTTTTTTTTTTTTTTTAAGTTTTTTTTTATTTATTTATTTTTTTTATGGAAATTTAAGGCAACCCCTATAGGAAGCCATATGAGGGCCTAGGCAATGAATAAGCAGTCAGATAGTCAATTATGACCACAATTTACATTGCTTGCCATCTCATTACCATGTACAGTATTCAGGGATTCATTGCAAGATAATGTCTTTTTCGTTCAACTTTTAGAGAAGATTGATATTTCGTTGATTTGATAAAAATAATCATTTGGCCTGTGTTGTTCAAACAATGGAGAAAACGCCGTAGAATAAGTCAACGATTTAAAGAAAGATTCGATTGTAAGATTATAAGATCTTCGATTGAGAGAAAGAGCAACAATTTAAAGATACTCTGAGTTTGAGAAAGGAGATAAAAAATAAGTAAAACTTAATTCAGTTCTTCTAAAGTAAATAGCTTCAACTCTGAAATTGTCCTCCGCGAAGGCATCCCTTCCCTTAGGCAGATAGCCCTCGAGGCTTTGCCATAATCACACACACTCAACTCTGAAATTATCGAAATTAATTGACCTTTCAATACAAATATTAAAATAACTAGTTTATTTTAGTAAGATCCAACGAAATTTGCAGAGGTATTAAGTTCCAAAGAGCTTAGTAACCAAAATAGTCAAGAATAAAAATATTTAATACTCTTACATTTCCACGCATTCTTCTTGCTGGTTAAAACAGTTACCATAACTCGCTGCTAGATTTTGTATAGCTTTACTATGGAAGCTTTCTGTAACGCATATAAGCAAACTATACACTGTTAGAACAACGGTTTGCATTTAGCCAATGGCAGCCTAGATAAGCTTCACTATTCATTCCGCCAAAATGATGATGTCTCAAGGCCTGAATTTGTTTACATTCAGACATTACCAGAGTTATTTTAATCCCTACAAAAAAAAAAAAAAAAAAAAAACTCAATTCATGACAGGCATCATGACTCACTTTTTAGATAAATAATTTTATTGTGCATCCTGCCGTACGTAAACTGAATCATTTTTGACCAGCTGCTTTGAAATATTTTCTGCCCATTATAAAATGAAAACTTCCTGCAAAGTGACATCATCAGGCGGAGTTAATATTGATGCTTAACTGATTTGTCATTGGTGAATTTCAAGTGGTTGTTCTAGCAATGTACAGCTCGCTTATATGCTGCCGTGACGGCTATTGAACCAACTTATCACATGGTATAAGTAAAATCGTTGATCATCACAGATTTTCATCTGAGCATTTTGATTTTGAATATTTGTTGGCCTTCTAGAAACTACAAGAATGGATGAGAGGAAAACTGTTTAACGCAGTGCATGTGTAACATTTTTATGCAATTAAAAACTTTTTTTATCTCTCATTCTCATGAATTGAACTATTACAAATAAATCCACTATTCTAGCAAAATCCATGGGGCTTCGGAATGTACAGTGGGCAAAACCAAAGGAATTTTAAATAGAACTGGTAAGGTAATAATTTTATATAAGCCTGGTAAGGGTTTAAATTTGACAACACAAAGACCATTAAAGAGAAGGAAAAGAAAGGCACAGAGGCAAGGTCAAAGAAAGGCATATCAGTGACTTATTTTCAGAGATAAATTTTTAACATACTTAGCTCAGAATGTTTTATTGACATGGAAAACAACTGTGGTTTTACTGATATATTTTCTGGAAATTAACAGAAGCTGTTTAGAATATTCCAGACAAAATCATGACTTTAAACTATGAAATGTTTTTACTTGTTTAAAGTATCTGCGATTGTACCCAAATTTTAGCAAGTACAAATAAGTTGGTATTTATTATATATGAAATAAAATCTTCTGAGAGAAATGACTGTTTTTCGAATTCTGCTAAAGATTCATTTTAAAATGCCCTGCAGCATGTGACCACAGGACTTTGCTTTAATGTTTCATATTAATTTCGAATCAAGAAGCATTTCTAATGAATTTGTATGAAGATTGTGCTTAGATTGGTAGAAGCTAAAGCTAAAAAGCAGCGTTACTACAAAAATATCTCTTTGTAAACCCATGCTGTTGACCCCGATCTGGATTTATGTATTAAGCAAACCTTAATGTTACCAATCAATTCCAATCATGTGCCAAATTAAGAGAATTTGCAAATTATGTTAATTTTTACGATAAGTTACTAATTAAGCATCCGAAGAATTTTGCAAATATTCAGAAACGTATACGTAAGCATATCCGTGTGTGCTTGTGGAGCTGTAACTCTACAGGGAATATAAGCTCATGAGTAGTTTTCAGCGATTTGTGTGCTCGTATTTTTCACGGAATTCACCGTGTTTCTCTCAAGAGTTTGGTAAATTTTTAAAGTATCAGTAAAATGAGTAGCTACGAGTTATGGATGACAGAATGAGGTGGAGAATTATTGGTAGATGGAAGGCAGCCAATCACAAGCGCAAGTGGCTATATAGTTTATTGTAACGCTCACTGTCGTCTGCAATTTGTGGAAACAGTGTTAGAACATTGGATCCATATCGAGAAGACCTGGACAAGGTTTACCAAGATCCACAATGACGAATGAGTATTGTTGGATCATTACGGTGGTGGAGGTGTAATGGTTTGGGCAGACATTATGTTGGATGGCCGCACACATCTGCATGTGTTTGACAGACTTCCTGACTGCTATGATGTATAGAGGCGACAACTTAGAGCCCTCTGTTAGATTTTTCAGGAGCACAATTGGTCCTGGGCTCCTGTTAAGTTCCAATCATATTACGTTTCAGCTACGCGGGACTTGACGTCGAAAGGAACAATTCTCAGAACCTGCAGAAATCAAAAAAAAAAAAAAAAAAAAAAAAAAAAAAAACCACGCAGCTAGGTTATTACCATTTTCACTTACTACAAAGATTTGAACGTCAAACACTAATCGATTATCGCTCAGATTGAGATCATGTGAGGCTT